TTCTAGGCTGTCCCGGAGTGACGCATGATGAGTTTTATATAGAGCACCAAATCGGAGTCAAGGAGAAGGGCTGTGCAATATGACTCCAGCAAGATCACTCGTGCTACCGATAAAAAGACCATTCGGTAGGTCGTACGGAGTACAGGCAACCCGCAATATGCAGCGTAACCCGATCAGTGCTGCGCAATGATGATCAGGGGCTCGAATCAGACTCATTCTTAGTCGAATTCTGTGGACCACATTGACGGATCGATTCCATGCCGTCGGGGGTTAATCTGCAGCTTCCCACTGATTGCAACCGTGCCCGGTTTCCAAGGGACTCCGTTATCTCACATATAGGGCCAGTATGCCACCTTTCCAACTTCCTTGACCATTGATTTTCTTTGTACCCTGTACCACACAACTCGCTGATGGTTTTCGAACCATGTCTCCAAGCAAGAACGACGCGCTAATAGCTCGTTTACTTTGGGAGCCCAGGTCAGTTATTTTCTCGTATAAACCATGCATTTGTTAGGATGGATGTAGGGTTTGGAGGTAAAAATAGAGAGGAATGATGGATCAGAGAATTAAAGAAGATTTTCAACATGTTGACCGACCGCAGGCAGGAGTGTTGTGGCAGATATCCATTCCACGAGAGAAAAGGTAGGTAATAGGCTGTTGACGGTGTTGTTGTTCCCCGTGCACCGCCACACTTCTGTGCATTTGCCATACATCACCGCCATTGAAATCACGACATTTGGTCCAGTCGCAAGACCTTACCGTTTTGGGATAATTGACTCAACTTCCACCTTTTTGCCTGCTCATTCAATAATCTTTTCCACTTTGATGTACTAAAAATCTCCAATCTTTGTATATCCGGTTCTCTCTTTGACGTATATCCTCCAATAGTACTGGCCTATACAAAGGAAGAGTGGTTGCAAAGGTGTCACGTGGAGCCACACCGTTGTTCAATTGATATCCGAATAGAATACATTGGCTGAGACTTCTTCGGCCATTGCGTGCCAGTGATGGACCACACAGTACTACATGAATCGGATGGCACATCCGATATTGATGAACAGACCAAGACCTGGGAATCTGATCCGCGTTCAATAACTACGCACCTCACCGACGATGACGCGAATGACTCCAATGCGATGATCGAATGTGGCATCGGCCACCGTGTTCAGGCCAGTCGGTCTGTCCTAGCACTAGTCTTAGATGATGACTACGTGTTTGCTGGTCTCCAGGGCGGAGACATTGTAGTATGTGATGGAGCGATGTTTCTTAGTCCATTGCAACTCTAATTGGCTTACCTCCGATAGGCATGGTCCCTCCAGACATACGAGCTCGTGCTCTCGGTGCATGCTCATCAGGAAAGCGTTCTAGATCTTCATCTCTCTGAGGACAAAGAGTTGCTCTTTTCTAGCGGCGGAGATTCAGTCGTCAATGTAATCCTACCCTCTAACGTGATTCGTGCAGTAAGTTTAACATGTGTAGGTGTGGTCGACGAGGACCTTCGATCGCCTGTACTCGATTCACTCCCACCATGATGTAGGCGATATTTTCGCAGTCGCCTACTCGTCAACTTTGAAGACTATCTACTGCGCTGGCCAGAACACCAGCATCCAGGTAAGTTCTAATCCGACTTCGCTTGAAAAAGCCTTCTGACGTGGCACAGTGGTGTGATATCTCACAAGCTGATGCGGCTGCCACACAATTGTCAGCGGCTCACTTGTCGAGGAGGACCCATCGGTTCTTTGATTCTCGGGGTCCCGATGGCACTCGTGCTCCCAGACCAGATGCGGGAGCGGACGGAAGCCATTCGATCACACAGGGTGGTCAAGTTCTCACCTTCAAACGTGATCACCATAGGATATTTTCCCACCATGGCTATGTATACACGATGCTCCTGGTCCGAGGGCTGGTTGAGTCGGTACCTTCTGAGGAAGTACTCATCACCGGTGCTGGGGATGGCGTCGTCAAACTTTGGCGTCTGAACCAGGACAATACCAATGCGGCGCCGTCCCAGATGGCAAAGCTGCAAAATGGCGACCCAGTACTCTCCATCGCGGTTGATGGGTCATTTCTCTACTGTGGCCTCGCAGGTGGCGCATTGAATATCTGGAACCTAGATTCCCATCAGCTTGTTAAACGCATCACTAGGCACACCGGCGATCTGTGGGCGGTAGATATTATCCATGGAGTAGCTGTGTGTGGCGACTCAAACGGAATTGTTAAGGTAGTACTGCTCTATCCAATATTCCAGAGGACCTATCTAACCTGCTCCGGAATTAGAAATTCAATTCTCGGTTTGAAGAGGTTGGCAGCTGGACCGCTCATGAGGGAACAATGCTCGCGTCGGCCGCTGGTCGGCATAGAGACCGATTTATTTACGCTTCAGGAGGAAACGACAACACTGTTGGTATCTGGGATTTGACAGACGTGTCCCTAAAGCAGAACGAGCTACCTCCTATCAATAATGGTAAGGGATGATGCGATCCTGAAGAAGCATTGTTGCTAACGATATACAGATGAAATGGTTAACTGCCTTGCCAAGTTTGTCGCTTTCAAGACAGTTTCAGCTAGCCCCAAATTCGCGGGCGAATGCAATCAAGGTGCAGCGTTTTTGCGAAGACACTGCGTTTACCTGGGGGCCAAAACGAAGCTTCTGACCACCGGGAAAGACACGAACCCAATTGTTTATGCACGGTTCAATGCAACATCCTCGGAGAAAATCGACAAAACTATTCTGTTCTACGGGCACTACGATGTCGTTGGGGCCGATGCCAACCTTACCAAGTGGAAAACGGATCCCTACCAGCTTACTTCAATGGATGGTTTCCTATACGGCCGTGGTGTATCTGACAACAAGGGCCCCATCCTAGCTGCTTTATACGCGGCTGCGGATCTTGCACGCCAAAAAGCGCTCCGATGCAATGTTGCTTTCCTCATCGAAGGTGAGGAAGAATCGGGCTCCCAGGGCTTCCATGAAACTGTTCGTCAACACAAGGAGCAGATTGGTTCAGTAGACTACATTCTTCTTGCCAACAGTTACTGGCTGGATGACTACAACCCCTGCTTGACCTATGGACAACGTGGTGTCGTCCATGCGAACCTGATTGTGACCAGCGATCACCCCGACCTCCATAGCGGTATTGATGGAAGCGCATTGTTAGATGAACCGCTCAAGGACCTTACCTTGTTGATCGGCACTCTAGTGGGACCTAAGGGCCGCATTAATCTCCCCGACTTCAGGGACCGAGTCTTACCTCTCCCCGAGGCCGAGAAGCAGCGATACGCGGATATTGCGCAGATTCTTCTGCAACAGCACCCCGAGATTACCGATCGCGATGCTTTGATTGACTCACTTATGCATCGGTGGAGGGAGCCAGCCCTTACCATCCACTCCATCGAGGTACCGGGCAATAGCAAGAGCACGACGACAACTATCTCACGCCGGGCGAAAGCCAGTATATCCATCCGTTTGGTGCCAAACCAGGAGGCAGATGATGTTGCAGCGGGCCTGACGATGTATGCGCAGGAACAATTTGATCTCCTAGAATCACAAAACGACCTAACAGTTGAGATCACGGGTAAATCCGATCCCTGGTTAGGTGATCCAGACAACGAGATGTTCGAGACTCTTGCGGAGGCTATCACAGCAGCCTGGACGCCAGACACACAGGGCCAGAAACATCAATATCCTCCAGTTCAGCGGAACCTACAAGACCGAACGGTCAGCAAGCTGTCTAAGGAGCCAGGTCCTAGACTCACTCGGAAAGATTCTTCGGACAGTCTTGCTTCCCATATTGATCGTATTATCATGTCGTCGACCACATCTTCAGCAAGGAAGGCGGAAACGCGTCAACGCAGCCTACTCAGCACAGGCGTGCCCACTTCCTCGACACTAACTAGCAAATCCAGCCCGGCACTTGTGTCGGGTGATTCCACCAGAGAAACATCTCCGGCGCCTCAGGGAGAAACGCCTCCCCGTCCCGAACCGGTGCCCGGGCCGTCCGGCGTCCGTCCTATATATATCCGGGAAGGAGGATCTATTCCGACAATCCGCTTCCTGGAGAAGGAATTCTCGGCGCCGGCAGCCAATCTTCCCTGCGGGCAGGCGAGTGATAATGCACATTTGTACAATGAGAGGCTGCGCGTGCAGAACTTGTACAAGAGCCGGGAGATCTTCAGCTATGTATTTTCGCGTCTGCCGGAGAGGGAGCGCAAGTGATCCACGAAGAGGTGTTCAGGTGGGTTGAGCACAGTTAGAGCATAATATTAATGGAGAGAAATCAGCTTCACTGCTAGCTGCGGGTTCGCAAAATGATCTTTATATTCATCAACTCCCTTTTGAGGTTGGCGGAAATCTAGTAGATTGAATATTCATTTAATGAGCAAGAATCAATAGATCTCGGGTTATTTTGTTAGATTGGTTATATGAATAATAATCTAAAGTGAAGCGCCCTGCATTTTATTTTGGAGAACGGAGGTGGTAGACTGGAAGAGGATACCATGCGAATGGTCCACCCCACTTCATGTTGACTCAATAACTAAGCACCTGATTCAGGAGTTCAGCTGTTTTGCTAAAAGTTGTTGGATACTGCCTGGCACTAGTTTTTTGTCTTTGAAAGAGTCGTGGACATTGAATATTAACTCAGACATACTGTTGCTTGTCAGTGATGGTAGAGGTGTACAGGGCGTAGAAGGAGAGCGTATATACTAGAACGTTCAAGTGGTATAGATGGTTCAAAACAAGATGCGTAGTTGGTATGGTGGATCTGTGGAGTGGTGAGAACATATTAGTAATAGTGTAGCGAGATCTGTCATGAAAATATAGGATGTCATGCTGTCTTGTACAAGTGTCAGCATCATGTGATTCAACTATATACACATCACTCAGATACATTATTAACAGCTACATGTATTATTAGCATAGGATGGCACGAGCAGCCAAGGAAAACAACCAAACCTGACCCAGTATGATACGCGTATCGTCGTCACTGCAATGTTCAAAATCAACCCGCTAAAGGCTTCCTTCCAATAACAACATGCAGATTCACCACCGGCAAAACATTCTGGCAGCGACTCTCCAATTCCCCCACCAGCCGCTCGGTCCGTTCTACGGCATCCTTCTCTTCCGTCACCTCTCCAGTCCCTAGCATCGACTTCGGCAGCAATGACCGCAAGACCAGGACCAGCCATGCCCGTGCGGAATCATGCAAATATGGCTTATCAATGGTATTATACGACTGCCGGGATATATCCTCAAAGCCGACCATATTGGCTAGTTTCTCGATGAGTACAGGCGCCGTCGGACACAGCCCCAGGTTCACTGCTGCTGACGCGACAGTCTCTTGCATGCGGAGAATGAACGGATCAGGCGATGATTCTGCGGTAGAGAATGCCGTCGTGTCGCAGTCGTCCCATTGGAGGTAGCCGCCTGGTTCTTCATACTCCCATTAACATGGTTAGGATATAGAAAAGGGAAGGAACGTACTAAGTAGCTCATATATGTTACGCATTGACTGAGGATAATCTTCTTCTTTGAGGGCACCGGCTAGGAGCCGGAGGTGTACTAAATCATATCGGCCTCTATGCTCTGGGGGAAACCGGTTGCGCATGTCATGAGTGGAGAGGTGTAGTTCATGAGTGGGTGCAATATCCTTATAGAATGGGTACTGGGCTGAGGAGATATCGAAGCCGTGGAGATAGAGACGATTGGTAGGATGTGCTTTGAGGGCCGTAACGAGGGACGAGAGCCATATACTTGGGTCCATTAGCACGTCCTTGTACTTTGCTAGAAGACACACACAAAAAAAA